CACTGTCTTTATATTCTTTCATTTGCTTTGTGATATAGAGTGATGGTATGTTCTGATTGAACTCGAGTTCCACCCAGATAACTTCTGTTGGCTCTTATGCAGTCACCATGTGTCTGTTCACTTTTTCACTGTGATTGAGAGTGGTGGGGTTGGCTTTGTGTTTCTGAAAAGCAGTGCATTACTGAGTCTTTCTTCAGCTTCCCTAATGTATCTTCACTACCAGTAACCTGCATTTGTATGGAGAAAAAATCCCACAAACATCCTGTCCTGACCAGTCACAATTCTTGTGGTCTCCATGTAGCATCCCTGTACAGCAGACATGCAGTTGAGGTACATTTTGAAAAAGGTCAGTGTTACAACTAAATGTTATATATAGTGATATACAGTTAAATTTAGTTAGTGCTGTGGTTTGTAACATAATAAATTGAAGTTTTTTTTATTAGCAGTTCTGTTTGTCACAAGATGAGCTTTGGCAAAGTGTGAAAAACTAACTGTGCCTTTTTCTGAGATGTTGTTTCCTTTGTCTTCTACTTCTGTCACTTTCTCTTGCACTTCCCATTTCTGTTACTCTGTGATAGTTTCAAGCTTTGCACTTGCTATGACATACCTGGATGTCAAGGATGTCTTCAAGTACAAGATGATTTTGCAGATGGACCCCTTCACATCCAGTACAAGCTGCATATTGTGTGTGCTTATGGATTCTTGGTTCACAGTCAGTCTGTCAGTTACTGTTTTTCAGCATCATTGCAGTGGAAACCAAGTGTTTCCTCTCTGACTGGGAGTGGCTTTAAAAGATCATCGCATTTTATTTCATGGTCAGGATTGAGGCCTTTTTGTTTCTCTTTTCCCTAGCAGTGCTCTTGTGTAGTTGTTGTTGCTGCTCTCTTGTTCTTTCTTTCACTTCATATTGAGCTGTCACTGTCCTTTGTTTCTTTCTTCTACCACCTTTCTTCCTTTCTGTCTATCACCCTCCCTTGTTTGGCTGTTGTCTGAATTATATAAGGAGGGAAGGTGAAACTATGTGATGTTTTTAATTCTTAAAAACTTGTAGGGAATAAGGTCTGTGTTGTAGGTTTGCACCTAAAATGAAACTTTAAACAAATCAAAAAAATTGTTTTGGAAGACGACAAAAAATGGGTTATTTAATTTTTTTGTTTTAAGTTTAGAGGAGCTGAAATTAGGAGATATGGAAAATTTATGATGATTGATGACAATGAAAAGGAGCTGAAATCTAGACAGTGTGTAGTTTACACCTACAGTAGTTGAACGTGTTACCAACCTGCTGCAAAGATTTAATGTTTCACTATAATGATGTAGGTAAATGGTAAATGGGCTGCATACACAAAGCATTTGACTCCCACACACACTCGCACTGATGGCAATGGAGCTGCGATGCAAGGCTCTGGACTGGCCCACCAGGAGCCACCTGGGGCTCAGTGTCTTGCACAAGGACACTTGAACATGTGGTTCAGAGGAGCTGAGCATAAATTTCCATTAACATGGTGTGACTAGAGGTGTAACAGTGGGCTAACCATTATTGAAATGACAGATGAATGTTCCCAACTGAGAACAGAATGATTTCCCATTCTTTATCGTCTTGGGCTAGATTAGGACCGAATAATATATCAATCAGTGATTGGAGACAGAAATAAATGACACATTTGATATCAAAATGCTTATTAGTACTTAGAGGTGAGGGATGAATGGAGAACTTTAGAAGGGGTGTTGTGCATTTAGGTATTTTAGAGGCTGAATGAAAGATACACTGAGAGAGGCTACTTGAGGCTGGCTCCAAAGGGGAGTCAATCCCCACAGACTCCCATGTTAAAATGCCCATCATCTTTACATCTTTACAGCCTGGTACAAAAAATGGTTTTGGCCTGTTTAGCTAATTTCCCCTTCCACAACAACTGTATGGAGGGGTAATTTTTACCGTATATAACTCACCCATTAAAAATGTATTGAGACTAAAAGTTTTGCATAATTAAGGACATGGTCGCTTTGAGTGACAGGTGGATGGGGCATACCATAGGTAGGCCATTTTT